TGCGTACCAGGTTGAGCTGGTAGACAGCTGCCCTGGATACAGAATTGACCTGCACCTCCATGTACAGCTGTGAGTCCAAAATGACTCCCAGGCTGTGTACCTGGTCCTTCTGGGGCACAGTTACCCCATTTAGGACCAGGGAGTCCTCCACACCAGCCCGCCCCGTGTCCCCCAAGAACAGTACTTCTGTCTTGTCAAGATTCAGCCTCAATCCATTAGCCGCCATCCACCCTCCAACCGCCTCCATCTTTTCTAGATGTTAGAATTCTAGGTGTTCATGTTAAAGGATGTCAACCTCAGGCTTCCAAGTGGAAAGGTCCATATATTTCAAATGTCCCTATTTATCAGGGACAATTATGATTTACCATACTTGTACCTGTGCCCCATGATGTCATCAGCCTATTGTGATTCTGGGTGTGGATGGTAGGGACAGTAGATAAGTTCATTGCTATTTGCATTTTAATGAGGAACTATCTCATCTGTACTTCTCATGCAAATATGCAGTCCAAAACTCAGCTATCCAGATCTCCAGCCAAACCATGATTACACAGATGCATATATTAGGGAAAGTGTGCCAAGCAATGAATACATTAATGAAAATAACTTCAGAAATGCACGGAAGCAGGAGGAAGTTGCTTGTGAAAATGTGTATTTGTGCATTTGTAAATTGTGTTTTTCACGAGACATTTACACTACAACGCTGACGGATTTTGACAAGGATTTCTCCTATTTAAAGGAAATCACAAAATGCTGAAGAAATGTGGGGAACTGAATTTAAGATTGGAATAATGAGAAACTGAGAGGACCGATATTGACATCTAGGCATCCCTAGGTACTCTGGCAGCATGCACAGAAGGGCCATTCAGTGCGGTCGAGGCACTGAAGTTCCACAATCAGCTGGAAGCAGAATTCTAGCTGTGGTTTCAGTTGACGTTAAATAAAATGGCATTTTCCCCATTCAAAGTTGCAATACCCTGGCAAATGGCTATGGGGGAAACAATGCCAGCTGTTGAAAATAATGAGAGGAAAAGACCACTTCCTAAGTCAATTTATTTGAATTTTATATGTTACACCAGTACAAATGCTGGATTGTATTGTTTCATTTTAATGCATTGCAAAAAGCCTGGATAATGACATGAGGATATCCAGATCTCAACTTTGAAGGGCTCATCTTGCTCTTCTCTGGAACCAGAAGAAAGTGGTGTGATCTCCCACACCCACAAATGGGCTCTTTAGCCTGAGTGGGTGCTGAAAACCCGCTTCTCTGGAGCCAAAATTTCTGGGGGAAATTAATGTGGTCCTCTTTTTCCAATGTGAGAAGCCAGCAAGGGGTGGGAAAGAGAAAATTGGCACTACAGGCTGAAATCCCTGCAGTAGCAAAGATGTCCTGCTTATTTGTCATTCCCTGCAAGCTGAGGACTCAGGCAGCAAATGCCTTGCATGTTGGGCATCTCCCTTTATTTATTTATTTTTTATTAAATCATTTTTATTTGGTTTTATTTGGTTCTGTTCCTGTAAATAGTCCACTGTATATAATAAACACCTAACTACAAGTTCCTGGTTCCTGCTTCGTCTATCCTGTCTGCAGCCAAGTCGCCAATTGCTTCCGTGGATTCTGTGTGTGTACTCTGCTAGGTCTGGCTAAGGTCCTGCAACTAGTCAGAAAGTTGCGAAACACCAAATAGGTTTTACCAATACATTCCACCACAGCAGACAGCAAGACACAGAAAATAGTTTTGGTAGAAGCGGAACTGCAGCAGAATGGAGACATGCAATGAACCCGGGTAGGAATGGGGATCAGTGGGAGTGGGGCATCATGTACAACGCCTTAAGCTTCTCTGATAATACGTGGGACATAAATATAAATAATAATAAACAAGCATTTTCTGGATTCCCCGTAATAGCTGAGTGAGCCAAGGATGGCAATTCCACACAAGAGAATTAGTCAAGAAGCAACTTCTGTTGAACTGGCCAGGGTAAAATTGGCAATACTATAACTTAAAACCGACAGGTTCCCACAATGATCTTATCTTTTTCTTGTGCTCCGTAAATCCAGAGCCTGGGATTTGTTTTGTTTTGTTTTTTCAAAGGGAAGGAAGAATTTGAGATGGTGGCGAAAGATCTCGGGATAATTTGACAATGCTGCTGCTCTAAACTTTGTTCCCAAATTCAAAACAAATGTGTGTCCACAGCAACTCCAGCTCTAAGGTGCATTTTGTAGGGGCAATGGTGTTTCAGAATCAGTGGTATTATCTGAGAGCTGGAGGATTCCTGAAATTTACCTGCTAGCTTAGCAAGTTGCCTGCACCAGGAGATGCTTGTGGTAAAACTGATGCAACTCAGAACGTGGAGAATGAGAATTAAGCAGGAATCGTTCAAAGGCATGGAATGAGGAAATTATCCAACTAAAACCACACTGTGTGTGTTTTGTTTGTTTGTGTTTAAAGGTAGATCAAGAAATGTTTCTTAAGATATGTGTGTAAGCTCCATTGGCTCTATAATTAATTAATTAATTAATTAATTTAATTAATTTAATTAATTTTATAATGAATGATTTTAGAGTGGTGTTTGTGCTGTACTTTTGTACTGTTTTATTGTTGTTAGACGCCCTGAGCCCGGCTTCGGCTGGGGAGGGCGGGATATAAATGAAATTTGTTGTTATTATTATTATTATTATTATTATTATTATTATTATTAGCCCTGTTGAAGACACACCTTTTTTTCAGCAAGCTTTCTGAGTAAAGGCTTTTAACTTGGTTGATATCTGCACTGAAGTTGAATTGGTTCGATATATGGGTTGCTGTTTCAAATTGCTTTCATGTATATAATTGTTTCTCTTTGCTCTTATCTACAGATGGGTGCACTGAGGCTCTAGTTTTTGTACTTAGTGACTATGGTAAAAATGTGGAATGTAGTTAATATTTACTGTATATCTCATTTGTGCATCTATAGATAGATTGAGTTAGTCTTTGGAGTTGGGTATTCAATAATTACATTCATGAAAGTGTTTTAAAATAAATAGCTCTTTAAAAATAAATAAATAATGTTTTCCATTGTCTTCATATATACACGAGTTTTAGCTCTTTTTGCACATGCAGTTGTCGGTGTGTATGGTTTTATTTAATTGTAAATTACTTTGGGATGCCTTGTGGGAAGTGGTTCATGAAGGAAGAAGAAGAAGAAGAAGAAGAAGAAGAAGAATGCTTGCTCGGGAAATTATATGTGCAAATCATAAACTCACTATCCACCCTGAAATGTGTTTGTTGAATTGTTGTTGTTGTTGTTTAGTTGTTTAGTCATGTCTGACTCTTAGTGACTCCATGCACGCCAGGCCCTCCTGTCTTCCACTGCCTCCCGCAGTTTGGTCAAACTCATGTTCATAGGCACACTTTCCCTAATATATGCATCTGTGTAATCATGGTTTGGCTGGAGATCTGGATAGCTGAGTTTTGGACTGCATGTTTGCATGAGAAGTACAGATGAGATAGTTCCTCATTAAAATGCAAATAGCAATGAACTTATCTACTGTCCCTACCATCCACACCCAGAATCACAATAGGCTGATGACATCATGGGGCACAGGTACAAGTACGGTAAATCATAATTGTCCCTGATAAATAGGGACATTTGAAATATATGGACCTTTCCACTTGGAAGCCTGAGGTTGACATCCTTTAACATGAACACCTAGAATTCTAACATCTAGAAAAGATGGAGGGGGTTGGAGGATGGATGGCGGCTAATGGATTGAGGCTGAATCTTGACAAGACAGAAGTACTGTTCTTGAGGGACACGGGGCGGGCTGGTGTGGAGGACTCCCTGGTCCTAAATGGGGTAACTGTGCCCCAGAAGGACCAGGTACACAGCCTGGGAGTCATTTTGGACTCACAGCTGTACATGGAGGTGCAGGTCAATTCTGTATCCAGGGCAGCTGTCTACCAGCTCCACCTGGTACACAGGCTGAGACCCTACCTGTCCGCAGACTGTCTCGCTAGAGTGGTTTCAGGTCGGTCTTCCTGTGCTGATCTATGTACGTGCTTGGTTGGTGCATTTATGAACATGTTGTTGTTGTTTAGTTGTTTAGTCGTGTCCGACTCTTCGTGACCCCATGGACCAGAGCACACCAGGCACTCCTGTCTTCCACTGCCTCCCGCAGTTTGGTCAGACTCATGCTGGTAGCTTCAAGAACACTGTCCAACCATCTCGTCCTCTGTCGTCCCCTTCTCCTTGTGCCCTCCATCTTTCCCAACATCAGGGTCTCTTCTACGGAGGCTTCTCTTCTCACGAGGTGGCCAAAGTATTGGAGCCTCAGCTTCAGGATCTGTCCTTCCAGTGAGCACTCAGGGCTGATTTCCTTCAGAATGGATAGGTATGATCTTCTTGCAGCCCATGGGACTCTCAAGAGTCTCCTCCAGCACCATAATTCAAAAGCATCCATTCTTCGGCGATCAGCCTTCTTTATGGTCTAGCTCTCACTTCCATACATCACTACTGGGAAAACCATAGCTTTAACTATACGGACCTTTGTTGGCAGGGTGATGTCTCTGCTTTTTAAGATGCTGTCTAGGGTTGAATAGGGGTGTACAAATCTGTCAGTTCTGGTTTCTCTCTCAGCTTCTCATATTTCTAATCTTAAATCCATTTCACTATGTTTCCACATTGATTTGTGTTCTTTTTATTTAGAAAATCTGCACCAAAATTGATTTGCAATTTTGTACACATTTCTCCCAATACTGTATATGCATTTTTACTGAATATATGCATTTTTGAAAGCCGATTCCCCTAACAGAATACATTTTTGTACATATTTTCCACCTACATACACATTGTTGCATGCACTTTCCCCTAATACTGTTTTTGTTGTTAAATAACTATATCACAAAAATGAGAACTGCAATTTTTGAAGGATAGCTATATTTTGTTTCAAAGAATCATAGAATTGTAGAGTTGGAAGGGACCACATGGGCTTTTTAGTCCAAACCCCTGCAATACATGAATCTTTTTGCCCAATGTGGAGGTCAAACCTATGACTCTGAGATTAAGAGTCTCATGCTCTACCAACTGAGGTAGCTCACTGATGGTTGGGGCTACTCCACTCAGTGCAATCCAAGTATCAGGTAATGATTTACCTTTGAATTAAGTTTGGTAAACATTTTAGAATCCACATTGCAGTTACGATAACTTGAGTTTATTCCTCTGGTGTCAACAAAAGGAAGAGTTGAGTCAAATCACGAGCCTGTCATCCAAGATGCTGACAGCCTGTTCTTACATCATTAAACCCATACTCCAAAGCTAGCTTTGCGAACCATTAGAAAACTGCCCATAGATGGAAAAATTCAAATGAGTGCAGGAGTTACAAGAAACCGAGCCACCAGAGCCATTCTGAATCGTTGCCAAAAGGACTGTTTCAAGTTTACTGCTAACCCCAAGCAAGTCACGTGTGCACTTCTCTTGGTTCTTGGGGTTTTCTGACATTTTGCATGATTGGATTACGTATAAACAAAAATAAAAGCATAATTAATGGCTATTGTGCGAAGAGGACGTAAAATGGAAAATCAGCAAGTGAAGTAGATTAATGGGGTCCAGATGTCATGCTGCTCATTTAATTTTTATTTCTTCATTATCTTTGGGTGTAAATTTTGCCTGTAGGCAAGAGTCTGGTCATGGCAGCAACGTCCATACCTACCGTATCACCACTCCCATAAGCCTCAACTGGGAAAGGTGTAAGAGGGGAAGGGAACCATCACCACTGGACATCCAATGAAGATGAGTGTTGGAAGATTCAGGACAAAATTTGATTTTGACCTGTTTTTAGGAAGTAATTCAATTATTGTTTGATTTTATACTAATGTTGTTGCTGTTTAGTCGTTTAGTCGTGTCTGACTCTTTGTGACCCCATGGACCAGAGCACACCAGGCACTCCTGTCTTCCACTGCCTCCCGCAGTTTGGTCAGACTCATGCTGGTAGCTTCGACAACAATGTCCAACCATCTCGTCCTCTGTCGTCCCCTTCTCCTTGTGCCCTCCATCTTTCCCAGCATCAGGGTCTTTTCCAGGGAGTCTTCTCTTCTCATGAGGTGGCCAAAGTACTGGAGCCTCAGCTTCACAATCTGTCCTTCCAGTGAGCACTCAGAGCTGATTTCCATCAGAATGGATAGGTTGGATCTTCTTGCAGTCCATGGGACTCTTAAGATTCTCCTCCAGCACCATAATTCAAAAGCATCAATATATATCTGATATTAGCCGCCCTGAGTCCAACTTTGGCCGGGGAGGGTGGGATATAAATAAAGGGTTTTTTTATTATTAGTACCCCTTCATACAGCACTGGAATTTGTCCCACGAGAGGCAGTGATGGTACTAGCTTGGATGGTTTTACAAGGCGATTAGACAAGCCTGTGGGTGGCCACTAGCTATGAGTGTATTACTACTACTACTACTACTGCTACTGCTACTACTACTACTACTACTACTACTACCCAACCATTTCCCCTGACATGACTCAAGGCGGCTTACAGATAAAATAAGAACAGCTAAAAACATTGGAGCAGAGGGAACAATAATTTTAAAACACACACATATCATACCACACACACACACAAACACATATGATCTATTAAAAACATACAGACAATCACAACAGAAACAGCATGGCACCAGCCTCCTCATTAAAACCAGATGATCCCAAAAGACTGTTGAAAGACTATCTGCCAGCAGAAGAACAGCAAGAAGAGAACCAGACTAGCTTCTCGAGGGAGGGAGTTCGAAAGTCTGGGACCACCCACATCCCTGCCAAGAATGCCTGTGAGGATGATGGAACCAAAAGAAGGGCCTCCCCCAAAAGATCTCAGAACCTGGGCATGTTCACATGAGGGACAAATGTCTTTCAGATAGCTTGGAGTTAAGCTGCAAAGGCTTTGTAGGTCATAACCAGCACTGTGCCCAGAAACAGAAGGGTAACCAATGGAGCTGTTCCAGCATAGGGCGGATCTACAGTGGTCAGTTATAACGTTAAGAATGTGTTATAAAAATGTGACACCAGAGGGCGCTGCAGAGCAGTGACCCGTCGGCAATGGGAAACTGCATTGAAAGCTATATAACTTTTTTATAGCATTTTTACTGATCAGTGTAGATCCAGCCATATATTCTCTATAACCAGACCCAGTCAACAATCTGACTGCAGCTCTTTGAGCCTGTTAAACTTTCTGAGCACTTTTCAAAGGCAGCCCCACTTAGGTGTATGAGTGTGTATCAAAATTAGCCTCCTGTGCAGAGGTAAAATTTACATTCATTAGCCTGCCTAGTTTTGCATCTGGCCCTGCCTATCACTGGTATGTGACGCCCTGGAGGAATGCCCAGAAAGGAATATGACACACAAGCCAAAAAGAAGTTCCCCCACTAAACCAATATGATCCGAACATGATGACTACACCCATTCTTTTGTTCATTTTCCCGCAGTCCCATTCACACTGCTCTGGCACAGGGAGTGAAAAAATCTTGGTTTCCATCAAAGAGCTTCTGGTATTGAGATTCCGCAGAAGCTCAAGGGAAGCGAAAGCAGCGGACCCCACAATAAATGGACAATAGAATTTGCATCTTCCTTCCCCACTGGCTTCCTTAATGCCTCCGAGAGCGATTAAGCTGGCTGAAATGTTGCCAGGGCAGATCTTCTCACAGTATTTCCACTCTTCAGCAATGCAAATAGCAGAAGGGAAGATGTTCAGTCCCTGCAGAACTCTCCGGAGCATTGAGAAAGCTAGTGGAAAATAGCTTTGTATGCATAGATACCTTTAATGTTAAATCCAAGGTGCCTCCTTCACACCCTTTGAACTTTCAGTGAAATGAAATTCTTCTAGCTCAGCATTTAAGAAAGGCATTGATCTTCCCAAATAATGTTGGATGTAACTGCAAACCTGTCTCTGCCGCAATAAACCCTCATTGGAAGGAGTGCACCTAATGGAGTTTCCCCCAGGGCAGTAACTCTGTTTTTACAGATCCATTGGTGTCTTTGTGGCATCCACAGATAGAGGAATTTGATTCCGCTCGCTTAATAATAATAATAATAATAATAATTTATTATTTGTACCTCAGCCATCAGGCTGGATCTCCCCAGCCACCCTGGGCGGCTTCCAACAAAGATTAAAAATACAGCAATTCTTCAAACTTCACACTTATCCGAATTTTGCAGTGACATTTTTCAGCCAAAAAGTGTGCGTATAAATGCATACATGAGTGAAAATGTCGTGGGGAAATCCACTAAATTGAGGGGAAATGTTTTGCAAAGCGGTCTATATTAGGGGAAATGACATACAAAAATGTTTCTATGATGAAGAACATCAGGAAGAACATTCTGATGGGTAAGAGCTGCTCAACAGTGGAATGGAACAGTCTACCTTGGGAGGTCATGGACTCTCCTTCCTTGGAGGTTTTCCAGCAGAGGTTGGATGGCCATCTGTCTGGGATGCTTTAGTTGAGATTCCTGCATTGCAGGGGGTTGGAATAGATGACCCTTGGGGTTCCTTCCAAATTTAGAGTTCTATGATTCTAGGAGAAATGCACACTAAAACGCTGGGTTTTAAAAAAATATGATGGTTCTTTTAAAAAATTCATAAACTGGTATGGAAATGTGGAGAACTGAATTTATGATTGGAAAAATGAGAAACTACAAGTGACACACACACCCATCATGATCCACAGCTATTGCACCAATCCCCACTGTCATATTGAGTCCATCTGCACTCCCAGTGGCCTACATATCTCATACAAGGTAGGGAATACCTTGCAGATGACCACAGTGTCTGGAGACAGGCAGGTCGTGCAACCACAGCAGTGACCAGAGGAGGAAGGAAAGACCATAGGGAGGACACCATGGTGCATCTGCAAGCAGCACAACCAGATGCCTTCATCTGCCCCAGCTGCAACAAAACATGTCTCTCTCATATAGGTCTCTACTGCCACAGCAGGTGCTGTAACGTTCCAACAGTTTGACTTTACCCCCAAAGGCACATTCCTTCATTGTTTCCTAAGGCAGATGGATGCCAACAATGGGGGAACATTGATGGCAGCGTTGAACAGGCCTTAACATCTTTTAGCAGGCCTTTCACTAGTAAGATAAGATGCTGTTGTTGTTGTTTAGTCATTTAGTCGTGTCCGACTCTTCGTGACCCCATGGACCAGAACACGCCAGGCACTCCTGTCTTCCACTGCCTCCCGCAGTTTGGTCAAACTCATGCTGGTAGCTTCGAGAACACTGTCCAACCATCTCGTCCTCTGTCGTCCCCTTCTCCTTGTGCCCTCAATCTTTCCCAACATCAGGGTCTTTTCCAGGGAGTCTTCTCTTCTCACGAGGTAGCCAAAATATTGGCACCTTAGCTTCAGGATCTGTCCTTCCAATGAGCACTCAGGGCTGATTTCCTTCAGAATGGATAGGTTTGATCTTCTTGCAGTCCATGGGACTCTCAAGAGTCTCCTCCAGCACCAGAATTCAAAAGCATCAATTCTTCGGCGATCAGACTTCTTTATGGTCCAGCTCTCACTTCCATACATTACTACTGGGAAAACCATAGCTTTAACTATACGGACCTTTGTTGGCAAGGCGACGTCTCTGCTTTTTAAGATGCTGTCTAGGTTTGCCATCGCCTTTCTCCCAAGGAGCAGGCGTCTTTTAATTTCATGACTGCTGTCACCATCTGCAGTGATCATGGAGCCCAAGAAAGTAAAATCTCTCACTGCCTCCATTTCTTCCCCTTCTATTTTCCAGGAGGTGATGGGACCAGTGGCCACGATCTCCTTTTTTTTTATGTTGAGCTTCAGACCATATTTTGCGCTCTCCTCTTTCACCCTCATTAAGAGGTTCTTTAATTCCTCCTCACTTTCTGCCATCAAAGTTGTGTCATCTGCAAATCTGAGGTTGTTGATATTTCTTCCGGCAATCTTAATTCCGGCTTGGGATTCATCCACTCCAGCCTTTCGCATGATGAATTCTGCATATAAGTTAAATAAGACACCGATGTTCAACTCCAGCAAACAATGTCCACATGTATAGTGTGCATTGAACTACAATGCACATTCAAGAGT